TTTTTTTTTCCTCTTTTCTCTTCCCCCACCTCTATTTTCCTAATATTAGCACCTCCAAAGTTCAAACTATTACCTTTTCCCAATTATAGAAGCAATCAAAAATATTAAATGAAGAAAAAAAACATCTTCTTCTTCCCTCTCTTCAACTTCTGTCCTCTTCTGGCGTTGCTAACATGCGCACATCTTTGTCCAGCTTATCCTGCGCCGCCTCCCCTTCCTTCCTATGGTACTCCTCCATTTCTCTCCTTCTTCTTTCTCATTATGCATTTCTTTGCTTCCGTGGAATATGTTTTCCGTTTCGTTCCCGAGAAATTGATTCGGAAAAGCAACGTTACCAAGCCCCACTGTTATTCGAATGTAGGATAGATATAATCCTTCTACATTTCTTTTTCTGTCTCCATCATGGCCTTCTCCTCTACGGGTTCTCGGCAACCAAACAGACTTTTGGATTGCCTTGCTTTGGTCAACCATCCCTTGCCCACACACTTTTTTTTTTCTTTTCTGGAAATCAATTTCCTAAGGTTTAATCGTTCTGTTCTGATGAATTTCTTGCAGAGTAAAACCATTTAGGTTTACTGTTTCAAATCAAGTTCGAATTTCTTTAATCGTGAAATAACAATTTTTCTGTTATGTTGCAGCATTTGCATGTTCTCTGCCAGTATTTTCCTCTGACTGCAAAATCGGTGTTTCTTTTGAACGCTGCTACCAGAAGTGGAGAAGATATATTTTTGATATATAGGGATAAAGCATGGAGGCGATGTATAGTTCCCTTCTGCAAATTTCTCCTTGTGCTGGTTCGAGACCACTTGGAGGGAAACCACATGTGGCAGCAGAGTTTGTATTTAATCGGAAAAATTTTGGTGTGAATTGGAAAGGTATGAGCAAATCACCATGTCGAAGCGCTTCAAATCAGTGGAGAAAGTTTTTGGTGCTTTCACAATGTTGTAAAGATTACCAAAGTAAGTACAATAACATGGCTCATACATTTTGGTTTGGAAGAAATGTAACAGCTTTAAATTTAATGTGTGGGTTTTAACCAAAATTGTAATGTTGGGTGAGATTTTCGGATCTATAAATTGGAATTTTCCTTTTGCTGCTTCATATTTTACTTTGATGTCAATGCTTGATTGAACTTGCTGTAAGAAAATGATTTTGTTATTTATTTTTACTTTAAATTTTAGATGATGTCTGGAATGACTTTTTCCTTTTTTATGCGAACTGCTTTGCAGCGCCAACTCTGGAACTGAGAGACTTCTATGCTTCTTTTGATAAACAATGTTCGCTGAAGGTAGGGATTATTATTTATCTAAAATCTTGGGGCTAGACAGGATCTGAAACCCCTTTTGTACTCTGTTTTCTACATGTCAATGCTTTGGGTTATTTGAAATTTTAGTTTCTAAAATTTATGTCCCCTAACCTTATTTTTGGGTTGATGTAGCATGAGTTCTGGTATTTGTTTAAGTTAATATTGTGAATTGCAGAGAAAAGCACAGGAGGTTGCTTCATGCCTAAAGGAACGCTGTATATTTCTTGTTGGTTAGTCTATATTGTGGACCTCCTTTCATCTTATAATATCTTTCTAATATTCTTCTGATTAAGATCTATGATGTGTACGATTCAGGAATGATGGGCTCTGGAAAAACAACAGTGGGCAAGGTTTTGGCCGAGGCGCTGGGTTATTCTTTTGTTGATAGGTGGGTGCCTTGATATTTATGGTTTTCAATTTTTTTTTCTTCTCTCTCTCTCTCTCTTTAATGTATTATGTGTGAGAAGTATATTTAGAATCCTTTTGGCAGAGCTCTTCTTTTTGTTGCTTATAAGCATTTTTTTTTCCTCTAAGCTTTAGAATCCTTTTGGCAGAGCTCTTCTTTTTGTTGCTTATAAGCATTTCCTCTAAGCTTAAAAATTTGTAGGAGGGAAAGGTTTTTTTTTTTTTTTTTTTTCCTTAATTATCTCAATATTTTGGTTCAACCATTTGTATCATCAGACTTGTCTTTTTCTAAGAAGTAAATTTTGTGTGGTCCTTCTTCGCTTTCTGGTACCTACCTCTAATCATGCTCTATTGGTTAGGGGCATGAGCTAGTATCTAACACCTTTGACAAACTTTGGGATTATGCAAAATTTTGGTAGGAAATTCACTGTATTTTTATGAAGAAGAGAACACAGGTAATGATGGCAGCATTTGGTCTGCTAGCAGTTGCTCTTAGTCGACTCATTGGTCTTGTAAATAAATTCTTAAGGTGCTCGGTACTTTGATATTATTGTTTATTAATCAAAATGGAGAAAGAACAGTAGAAAGATGAGACTATGATATGTAGTGATTAAATCTTCACAGGCAAAAATGTTGATCTAGTTGACAAGTTTTGAATCAAGAAAGGAGTTGTAAGGAGTATCAAATCCTTATGTATTAGCAGATTGTGAATTTGCTGATGATTTTAAATTTCAATTGGATAATATGTTGCTTGTGTGTGTTCCAGTGATGTCTATGTGGAGAAGGCTGTCGGTGGAACTTCTGTGACTCAAATATTTAACGAGTATGGGGAGAAATTCTTTAGAGATAATGAGGTTTGTGATCGACACATTTGTATCACCAACCCACCGTATTGATTGGGAATGAACTTTAAGCACTGATGCTGTATGTCTCTCTGCTGCTTGTTTGGATAAAATGTCAAGCTAAAGAGAATGGGCTATTTTAATTTCTTTCATCTTTTGTATCTTATATGGTCCTCAATGGTTTTGTTTTTCCACAATTCCATGCATAAATATGATTCTGTTGCAAAATTATATTGATTATTTGATACTAGAGATTGAAAGTAATTGTTAATGGTTTTCCTTCTTTAAAGAGTGAGGCATTGCAGGAGCTGTCCTTAATGCCCAAACAAGTTGTTGCTACAGGTGGTGGTGCGGTAGTTCGGGCAATTAACTGGTATATGAGTTGTGAGGTTACTGATGCTTATCTTTTTTTCTTCTTTCCTCGCAGAAAGGGGAAAATTGAATTGGCTTCTTGATTGTTTGTTAATTTTCAGGCATTATATGAAGCAGGGGATCACTGTTTATCTAGATGTACCTCTTGATACATTGGCAAGGAGGATTGCTGCTGTTGGAACTAACTCCCGACCTCTTTTACATTTTGATTCTGGTGATCCTTACACTGCGGTAATACCTAGTTTAAGACTTTGGTTTAGGAATTACATTTATGTGTCCTCATGCTTCCCTTCAACATCTCTGCAGGCATTTGTGGGACTTTTTACTATTTCGAAAAAGAGATCTGACTCTTATGCAAATGCTGATGCTAGGGTTTCTCTCCATTGTATGTCTTCACCCAAAAATCTACATTCTCATCATACTCCACCTTTTTTGTATTGTTACATGCATCCTGTTATTTGGTGAAATATGACAATGCCTTGTTCTTGTTTATATTGCCATCACTTATTGATGTTATACATCTATTGACATTATTTGGTGAAATATTGACTTCTGAATTTACCCATCAAACATGTATAATTATGTTGATCGTGCATTAATGTTGTTACATATTATTTACATTTTACTTAGATCTTGCTGCCAATATGGGTCTTGAAGATATAAGTGATCTCACACCAACTGCCATAGCAATGGAGGTCCTACTTTGAACCTCGGTGCGAAAATTGTTGAGTCTCTAGTGATTATTTATCTTATCTTGAATTTGAATTTTGCAGGTGCTTGTGCAGATAGAGAAGCATCTGAAAGGAAATGGTGATATATCAACCCCAACGCCTGCTTGATAACTCGAATTTCTGAGGTTTTGTTTGTCTTTCTTATATAATATTTCTGGGGGTTTGTATGGATTTAGTTATGTAAAACGCCACACCACCCCCCCCCCCCCCAAAAAAAAAAAAAAAAAAAAAAACTAGTCTCGAGTGATAGCTCCATCACCTTCTACAAACAGAAAGAGTATTATGTAATTTAGACTACATAATTTAAATTATTAGATTAGGCTAAATTTCTTGATATTGAAGGTTGCGCTCCATTTAGGAATTTTTATTTTGTAATCTAAACTACAAAATATATAACTATTCTGCAAAACATGTTTTAGGTTATTCTTTTGTATGATTCTTCAGATTAGATGTATAGATAACATTAAAATTATAATTATATTTAGTTTATTTGATTTTATCAATTTATAATTAGTTAAAATGTTTGAAAATATTACTTAGATACTAATTTTAAATATTAGTTAAATATCAATTATTTTATTACTTAGTTAAGAAGTTTAACCATGACCCATTTTTAAGTGTATATTTAGTTTGAGGGTAGGAGGAGAGAATTTCTTTATTTGATTGCAAAAAGATTAGAGAGAGAAGAGGGAGTACTTTATTTAAATTTTTTCTTTTAATTCTTTTATTTATCTAAGTGGAGAGAGAAGAGAAATAAAGAAAATAGAAGGATACAAATTCTTCCATTTCCTTCTCCCCTTTGATTTCTTTCAAATTGCATACACCTTAACAATTAAATTAAATACAATAATATTTTTATATGACATTAATTTATTTAGGTTAAATGTTAATTTAGTCCCTCAACTTTATAGTTTTTCACTTTTTTAATCCTTTAACTTTTTTTTTGTACTTTTTTGATTCCTCAACTCTAAAAACTGTACAATTTTAGTCATTTCATCAGTTATTTATGACATGACACTTAAATAATTCCACAGTGGCATTTTCTTTTAATTTTTTTATGACATAGCAATGACATATCTTATAATTTGATTACGTGTACAAATAAAAATACCGAATTAGATTAGCATTTATATTTTTAATAAAAAAATAAAGTTACCTTAATACCCTTGTCTCCCTTTCTTGATCCATCTTCTTCCCCGCTTTCAATCAATTTTCTTCCCTTCTTTCTTTCTCTTTATGAATTTAGCTCAGGTTCAATGGAACCCAATTGTTGGGTTCCTCGAAACCAGTAGAATTGGGTTCCGTTGAACCAATTGTGTTGGGTTCGAAGGAACTTAGCTCAAGTTCGATGGAACCCAACTACTGGGTTCAATGGAACTAAGCTATTGGGTTCCCTCAAACCTATTAGATCAGGTTCGATGAAACCTAATAGATGTAAGTTTTTCTTTGGCTTTCCATTTGTAGTTCTTGATCTGCCTATTATACTTGTCCTTCGTAGGTTTTTTTTCAAAAGTTGGAGTTGATTTGTTGGAATTTGATTAGGGTTTGATTGAGATTATTTATTACCAAATGAATGAGAAGTTAGTTTAATTTGATGAAATCTGTTAGGTTTGATATTTGATGAAATTTGTTAGGTTTGATGAAACCTAACAAGTGGGTTTCATTAAACCCAGCAACTGGGTCCAACAAAACCCAAATTATGTTGGGTTCAATTGTAACTGGAGTACATAGGAAGAAAGAAGGGAAGAAGATGGATTGAGAGAGGGAGATTGGATGCTAAGCTAATTCTATTTTTTTTATTTCTTTTTATTAAAAATATGAATATTTATGTGATTTAGCATTTTTTTTTATCCTTGTAGCAAATTTATAATATATTATATTGCCATGTCATCAAAAGAAATTTAAAAAAATGTTATTTTGGAATTATTTAATGGCCATGTCATAGTTAATCGACAGAGGGATCAAAATTGTGTAGGTTTTAGAGTTGAAGGATTAAAAAAGTGTAAAAAAAATGTTGAGCACTAAAAAAGTGCAAAATTTAAAGTTGAGGGACTAAAATTAACATTTAACCATTTATTTATGTGTTAATAACCATACTCTTTTTCCTCACCTTTGCTCCTACTTGCCCTAGCAAGTCGCAATTATTTGTTCTTAGTCAGACTAAAATGAAATAAAGAGTTTTAATTTTTAAGAGGTGTTTTTCAGTATAAATTATACATTTTTTAAGATATAAAGGTCAATTTTAATAAAAATATTTTAATAATTTAAATATTTATACTGAATATAAAAGTGCAATCTATAATGAAAAATAATTTTCTTTAATTTTAATTATAATTAGAAATAGTTTTATAGTTCACTTTGCCAAAATATCGGTAAAAACATCAACTAACAAATGATCATGATTTTAAGTGCAGAACAGAATGAAAAAATCATGTTACCGTGTTAATAAGAGATATTAATCACATTTTTTTACATTTAATTTTATAAAAAATCACAAATGTTACTTAATTTTTATCATCAATACTACATGAATA